ACATCTCTGTTCATCCACTCTTTCTATTCAAAAATTCCTTGCTGTAAATAGAAACAGCACCCATCCAGCCAAAGACTCATGACCATCCTAAATTCAGGAGCATTGCTAAATTAAAATGCATTTGTAGCAGATAATCTAAGCACAACAAGAGCTGTATCTCCTGCTGTTTCTTTGGCACACAGTGAGAACAACAAAAGGCAGAATTCCAGGTGTGGCTGACTGAGCTTGGATTCCTTCTGCTGGTTTGATACCTCCTCAGCCAAATAAACAATCTTTTGGCTCATCTACATATGTGAATCTGATTGGTTTTAACTGCAATTAATATTGTATAAGACAGAAGAGAGTATTTATTTAGAAGGCATGTAGGCAGAATTAACAAATGGAAGAAAGAAGCAGCTGACCTACATTTCAGGGACTGGAACTTGTCTGTAATGCAGATGAAAAGCCCGTTCCAACTCCCCTTTAAATTGTACACCATCCAAATCTATTTGTCATGAAGCAGTTACCTGCTCATAGCTGAAAAAATACTTTGATATATTTTTTATGAATTCAGCTTCTCCAGTGCTAAGATAACTGATTGCAACACAGCTTTGAATTAATTACTGTACCTCTGTCTCCAGAATGATGTCTTATAAGAAAAGGAAAGCTGAAAAAAGAGAATGTATTAATTTTACACACACACACACACACACACACACACACACAAAGCCAGATATCAAAAAGCTTAAAAATTGTAAAGATTTTTTTTCCTTTCTTCTGTAGTACTACAATAGGCAATCAAACAATTAAGAAACAGAAGTTAGAAAAAAAACCTTTGAAGAAAACATTTTTTCATGGTTTAAATGAGATATAGGGGAAAAGGAACAAGTGCCATTCCAAAAACAATTGGTGCTCTGTTTGTTTTCTCCCACCCTGCAAAACAGTAAATGGTCAGTAATAATGGAATCCAAATGGTATTGTCCCTTGTGATGAATTTTTTATCTATTTTCATTTTTATTTTTATTCTTCATAAGAAATAAGATTTTTAAAAAGTCCATATTACATGTGGAAAAAAAATAAAAAAGAAATTCTCTTTAACTATACAGTTCATATATTCACATATTATTCAGATTGAAAGGATGGAGGAGTTTTGTTTCATTTTTTTCTTTAGTATCCTAAAAAATGACCATTGTTTCAGTCAGTGTTTGAAACATTGTTAGATTTTACAGCAATATGAATAAACTCCATTCACAGTCTTTTTCTTATAATGTCCTATCTTTCTACTACATATTACCTAAACCAAAAATAGAGACTTTACAGTTAGCCTCACAGAAAAAGACTTGAACTTAATATGAAATACATAGTTATAGTGTGATTTATTGCCTGATGTCTGTTTTGTATGTTGTCTTAATACTTTACTGAAGCAGCAGCTGTACTTTGGCCTTTTAATAAATAACCCTCCTTAGAACTGTAGGATGTAAAGTGGCTTAGTAGCCCCCAAATTAACTTCAAAAGGAACATTATACTCATATTATAAATTAATTAGGTGAAAGAAAATGTAAAGTACTCAAACATTGTGAGTAGTGTAAATACACAGGACATCATTTGTAATAATGTGAATAATTTTTAAAGAGAGGATATTGGAGAGTGATTTTGTTAGTATTCATGGTGAAGACTTTCCTGCTCTTTTTTTTATATACACTCACATGTTATTTCAGGGGAACATCTTCACTTCTCTGTCCACAGGCAAACAGCATGTTCCTGCTCTTTACAGCAGGGTCTCAGGGCTTCTCTTTCCTTAATGTGACCATAATTTGTACAGTGCTGTCTAAAATTACAAGATTATGCACACAGTATTCCCTTCTGAAATCCTGTGGGAAACATGCAAAGATACCCAGGGTTTGTGCTTAACATTATAGCTATGAATAAACCAAAAACATATTAACTGGGTCCAGTATACAAACACACCCAACTTTTGATCTCTGGAAGGTGGTTTCTTTCTGGGTTGATGCCTCTGCCTCGTAGTCTAAATAAAATAAAGGTGTTTGTCTGTGTAACAGACAGGAAAGAGAGCTGAACCTCTATTTATACTACTTTCTGAGATTAAATCCCAGTTTAAAAGTACTAATTGTAGAACAGGACTAAATAGTACCCTTCCACTCTTGGCTTGTCTTGGTCCATATCACATGATATGTGAAACATAGTTTTCAATTTATGCATCTTCCTTCTACCTCCTGCCTTAGAAGGTATACATTATCCTAATAACTCAAGAAATCAGTGAATCCACAGGATAAATGTAAAGATAGTGTCCTTCAAAGGAGTGACTGGGTTTGAGCATTAAGAAGGTATCAGCTCATAAGTGGCTGCTACAATGTGATCTCTGGTATGAGGGTGTTGGCTCAAAATAGTGATTTCTTTGGTAAGTGGGGGCTTTAGAACTTCCCTTATATGTGCTTTAAGTAAGAGTTAAAACTCTCATCTGTTTTCCATTCAAATGCTTGAGAATACCCCCAGCTTAGCACACCCCAACTAAGGACATACTTAAGCGTTTCTATATTATCTGTGTTATCGTGCTTTTTGCACATATGCAGAGAGAGAATGTTACAAGGGAAACTCATAACTCCTCTCAGTTTCATCTCTTCATTTCCCAGGGCAAAAGCAAATCCTGTAAGTGGAAAGCATTTTCCAAATTCATTTGCCTAGAAAACCATTCAGATTCATGTGCTTGGTCAATGCTTAACACAACATGTTTCTCCACCACCAACTGAAGACATTAGCATATATCAAAGATCAAACTGGGACAGTGATTCTGGTACTTCATTGGGAAATGCTTTAAGGTCAGTAGTTTGGGAAAACAAACTAAATGAAAATGACAAAATGTGCTTGTGCATTCAGCATTGTCTCTGCAAGGGAAAAGGGTTATAAATACAGTCCGGCTTCAATTTTAGCAGTTGACAGTTCACTGACGACAGTGACGTGGTATCAGGGTACACCTGAAGTAGCTCAGCAGGGTAGATCTCTTACATTTACTTACTGAAAGCTGTAACTTATATTCAGAGGCCAGTGGGTCTTCTAGTTATAACAAACTCTGGATTCCCAATTCATTTCCTTGGCAAATAAGACAGGATTTATTTAGATTCATTTTTATCCAAGCTGAATTTATGTCGGCAAATTTCTCTCTGCATTAACTTTTTTAAAGCTGCTGTATTAAAATTCACATTGGTCTAACTGAAGGGAGAAGTAGGACCATTGGCTTCAGAGAATCCAGTTGCAGAGCCAAAAGTGCAAGTTAAGTTTATGCAAGTCATATGTTAATTATATATACAGTAATGTAATGCAAATGGGCACCCACCTGCATGGAATTATATCAATAATACTTGATAGTGTTAATAGATTTCATATGAAGGAAATACCATGATTGATTTTGCATATTTCCATATTTTGTTTTCACTTTTTAGTTAACAAGAAAATTATAAAAAAAGAAAGAAGAAAATAAATCTACTGCAGATACCACTGTGATAACAGATTACTTAAACTGCAAGTAGCCAGTTCCTTCTATATGACCTCCCTTTGGCACAGAGTTTCTTATTCAGCAATCCCTACAAAAAGATCTATTAACCAAAACATCTGCTGGTTGGCTTGGTCTGGCTTTCTCAGCATGGCAACGTATCATGCAATTAATTAAGTCTCTGAGCCATCCTAATATCAAGTGGATTAGGTATTTGTTTAAAGCAAGGCACATGCCTATTAATTTGCTGAGCTGAGGCCCAGAGTAAAGAGGAGAGTCGTGGAAAATATTGTATGTGATAATGTCATTAAAGATAGCAATTCTCTGGCTGCATATGAGGGGTCCTGAGTTAAGGTTGTCCAGAACCATTTGCATCCAAATGCTTTAGTTTTTCTCTTGTGCAGGTAGAAAGCAGGTTTTCACATGCTTTTATAAAGTGCTATATGATGCAATACACATATTATGGCACAAACTGTAATGTCTTGAGAATTACATCCACCTACAGTATAATCCCATATTATAATCCCAATATTATCTCAACATTTATTGAGAGCCCAGTCCTGAGGGTCTCTGGCAGGATTGACTGTTTGGATAGGCCTAGCTATATTCTGATGATGATTAATGACACCTCTCAGACACATCAAAAGCACTTGTCTTCATGCCTCAGTGCACAGCCAATGCATAATGTCAGCCACAAAACCCACTCAGACTGCTCTACATTATTGTTTAATTAAACAACATAGATAAGTTCCAAGACTATTTCAAGTATAAACATGGAACAGTATCTAAGCTCCTTTTAATCTTATGAAGAAAATGCAAATGTTGAGAGGGGAATGAAATTGAAATGTGAGGAAAACATCTTGTATAAATAGGAATCCACCTTTTCTTTGTTTTTCTTCTTCTAAATTTAGGTTGACAAAATCATGAGCTAAGGGAACAGCCCATGAAAGAGAGTTTTTCCTTCTCCGCCCCCAGCAATGAAAAGTGTGAGGACACTGATTATAGAATTTATTCAAAAAAAAAAATCTATCCTCAGCCTCTCTTGGAGATATACGGAAGTTTAAATAACTGTTCTGACATACCTGAGGCAGGAGCCCCCTTCAGCCATAAGGAGTCTATCCCAATAATTTAGACAATTCTTAAATTGAAATTATGTGCTAGAAAAGCTCTGTGGAAGGATCATTGTGGTAAGCAAAAACCTCTCTCCTGCATAGTACCAGCGCAACATCACTGAATCTTTGTGACTTAAACAGCACCTGTGGTCTGTGCTACCCTTTTAAAGAAAGATAAATTTAATTTTTATATTTTGAGGTATGTGATAGAAAGGACTCTCTTTTACTAATAGTTTGTAGTGATGATAGGATTTCAAAAAGGGACTTTTTGACTTGAAGTAAAGCAAAGTTAGGTCAGACTGAAGAGCTTTTGAAAAGCCTACTCCAAACTGGCAAAACTATTTCATTTTCCATTCTCTGAGCCACTCATATGCTTAATCAAACTGCACCGTGTCTTTCAGAGGATGCCTATAAAACTCAAGTCCGAATCGATGATGAACCAGCCTATTTGGACATTCTAGACACTGCTGGGCAGGTGAGTAATTTTTCAATGTGAATCATTCAATCAGAGAAAAACTCAAAGATTTTAACCTCAGATTTACAGGTCATACAGCTAGAAAAGAGGTTCCCTATTCAAACATAAAAGTACCAGTGGCAGAATAACACCGAGGAATTAACAAAGGAGAAGATTAAAGCAGTGCTGCAGTATAGCATAGTTTAACTTCCAAATTTTAGGAGAAGGGTTTAAATAAGCAAAGTTTAAATAAGCAAAAGACAAAAAGCTGTTTGTTTCTTTTTCTCTTTCTTACAGGAATATCTATCACAATAATGGAATGAATAAATGCTGTTATTAGTTTGTCTTATGTCTTTCTCACTCCTGCTTTTCTGTGTATACTTCAGGAATTTTCTGGTCTTACTTGTAGATTAAGTATCTTGTTACACCTCTTCTCCTCCCCACACTATATTTAAATATCAAATGCTGACCAAGAAGGAAAAGGTCTTAATGCCAAAAGTAGCACACATACAGGTTGCCTAGAGAAGCTGTGGCTGCCCTATCCCTGGAAGTGTCCAAGGATGGATTTCACGGGGCTTGGAGCAACCTGATCTAGTGGAAAGTGTCCCTGCCCATGGCAGGGTGTTGGAACGAGACAATCTTTAAGGTCTCTTCCAACAGAAGCCATTCTCTGTTTCTGTGATTTCTGTGACAACATGTATGTGCTCATGTGAACATCACTCAGGGAACTAATTTTCACGTACAATAATGAAGACAAAAGAGTTAAATACAAGAATTTCTTCTACCTGACTCAGTTCATTCTCTTTCAGTCTTAACATATTTTTACTATTTAATCAAAGCAAACACTTGCTGCCAGTTGTTGATCTTTTCCTGAGGTGTGTCTTAGGTTCTGCCTGAAGGCTTCGAAAATTTTACCAGTTTCCATAATGTGTGTGAACCTTGTACAGGAACAAGATAACCAACAAGGAGAACAGGTACTTAAAACAAATAAGCAAACAAAGATTTAGGAAGTAGAAGCCTGGAAGCCTTGATATCTACTCCTCAGATGTCTGGGTGTACCTGATCTGGGCACTGCAAATGGTGGGGAATGCAGTCTGCTGCCAGGAATTTAAGGAAACTCATCTATTGTCAGGCATGTTCAAATTTTGGGAAAAATCCCCCATAAAACTGTATAATTTTTGCATTTTTGTTTTATTTTTGATCATATAAAAAAACTAGAACTAAGCCTCATTCTTACTTTATGGGGTATGGATATGATTGCCCAGATTAAGAATTTTAACAGAACAGACAATTGTAAGGTAAGAAATGAAATGAGAATAATGCAGTCAGTGAAAGCTGCTAAGAGCAATAGTAAAGATAGAGAGTTTTGAGATTTGTTTCTAGAAGGAGTCATAATTTTAGAGGTCCTTGGCATCTAATGATAGTAATAAAATGCAGTACAGGTATTTCCTGGAATCAGAATTTTTAAGGTTGGAAAAGATCTTTAAGATAATTGAGTCCAACTATTCCCCAGCCCTACCAAACCCACCACTAAACCATGTACCCAAGTGCCACATCTACATGTCTTTTCAATCCCTCTAGGGATGGTGACTCCACCACTGCCCTGGGAGGCCTGCACCAGTGATCGACAATCCTTTCAGTGAAGAAATTTTTTCTTAAGATCCCATTTAAACCTCCCCTGTTCCCTCAGCCACTCTTCTTCATAGCAAGCAGAGAGCTGTGGCAGAAGCACCACACTCTGCAGATACATCATCCCAGGCCACTGTGCAGCCTGGCCACAGCTATTCTACTTCAGTTGGATTGATTCCACCGAGCTGAATTGATATGAGAAAATCTCTGTTTTAAATTTCCCTGTTGTTCCAGTGGCGACTGTCATCACTGAAGCACGTCCCAGTGTCACTGTGTTAGGAAGCTCTTCCCACTTTCCTTCCCTGCTATTTTTCAGGGGCTGTCCATTCTAAGTGCCCTGGATTTAGCTGCTTGTCTTTGCAGATGTCTTTGGATTTGTTGCCTCTCTACTACACAGTTCCAGAATAAATCAAGACCTAATCCAACTCCCATTGAAGTCAACAGCTGAAATAGCCTCTTTCTTCACAGAGGACTTAATGTTGCTCTCACTGAAGCTCATCCTGAATTTCTGCTCTGACTTTGGTGACTCAGGGTAAAAATCCAAGACACCCACTTGTGCTGTCAATGGTGTGTGCTCTGATGCTGCCTTGCTGAATTTTTTTACCTAAGTTTTGTGTTAAATTAGAGATGGTGTTACAGCTTCTAAATCATGCAATGGAAATCTCATTTCTCTGGGTGCCCTCGCAGTTATAAATACTTCATCATTAGCTTTGAATAATGACTTTAATCACTTCAGAAGATAAAGGAGCTAAAATTGTAATTCATCCCTATTTGGGAAACACAGGAAGTCAATAGAGAAACCAACTGAAGTTAATGTACTTTGTTGTTGTGCTTGAGGATATGTTTCAACAAATATCTTCTCCTTTCCTTACTGTACCTATACAGTAATTGAAGACTTCAACGCTGACCAAATTAATTAATAATAATTCATATACTTTGTTATTAACAATCTAGAGCTAAAAATCCACATGAGAATTCATACCTGACACTAGATAAAAATCTTTGATATTTTAACTGTTAGATGCAGTTTGAGGCACTAAAAAGACAGATGGTGGTTCAGGAATACATTTATGGTTCTCAAATTTCTGAAGTTAAAAAACATTCAAACAAAGTGAAAAACAGGAACATTAGTAAACTATTTGTATGGTTCATCTAGTTACTGATCTTTATCTTCTTTTGCATATAGATAGACACTAATAAATGCAACCAACTGCTTCTCTCAGGAAGCAAACTGATGTTCCATAAACTCTGGATCCATGTTTTATGCATCTTCATTTGTCCTTTTGTGCTATTCCAATACTTTTTTTCCGCTGAAGGTAAAACAAGAGGCATTTTGTTAATGAATGTAAGGGCCAGTGTAAGTAGTTAAGCTTCACCGAACTCACTGCACCTGCTTTCACCACCCTCTACACCTGCCAGCTGGGTAGCCTGTCTTTGCTCACCACAATCAACCTCAGACAGAATAAGGTTGTGTTTACCTCAGAGAGTTTCAAGAGCAGGTATTGCTGATGTAGCTCCTCTTAGCTGTATTGCCATAAACAGACCTTTCTTGAGCAATTCCTACCAAAAACCTGTTGTGCAGCAACAAAATGAACAAAAAAATGATGTTGTTTTTTCTTTTTCAATGGCATAGTGAATGTAGAAGAAGCTATCAGTAATTCCTTTAGTTAGCTATCGGTGATGCCTTTGGCTCTTTAAATAGAAGTAATCTCCTTAAACAAAAAGTTTTCTTTTTGCATCTACATTTCAAATAAAACAAACCAAAAAAGCAAATAAAACTGAACAGAGGGTAAATGTGAGATTGAGGTCACATTTACAAAACTGAGGAAGTTTATTTTGCTAACTTTTAACTCTCAAAACTCTCAAGGCTATGTACAATGTGGCATGTGATGTATATTGGAAAATCTTAGTGGAAACCAGGAAGCACAAATGATTATCTATAAAGATAGCTTGAACTTCCTTGTTCACCCATATCCATGAGACATTTGTTGAGGAACTCTCCCTTGAAATTCACCCATGTGCTTCTGTCTGTTGAGTTTGGAAGTGGTGTTTGGGGAGGTGGTTCTGGGATTTCTCCTTTCTTATCCAAAGTGTTGGAAAACTAATCTACTTTTACATACATTCGATTCAAACTGACATAAGCTCTTTGATTTCGGGGAAACTTGTGGGTGCAAATGAAAGGGCATTCAGACCTCAAGCTCTTTATTCTGTATTCAGTTCCCTTCACAATTATTCTCAGAGAGCGACAACTCCCGGCTGCTCCAACCGCGCACAAAAACCTTCCACACAGAGTTGTAGGAACCTTCTGTTCATTCCTTTGTGTTTTATCAGCCTCTCCTTTAACTTAAAAATATGTTGCTACTTCTGGAGCCCAGAAGTATGCTTCTCGTGGAGCACACGCAGCAGTTATCTCTCCTGCTGTATTTATAAACTGTTGACTGACACAGGAGCTTTTATTCCTGCCGCAGCTTTCCTCTCTATGACACATTACCCAATCTCTCTGTTCAAACCTCACGCCGAACACTAAAAAAGCAGCAGAGTTCCCTTCACTGAAAACCAATCTGAGATGACTCTGTGACTCTATTAAAAAAGGCAAAATTGTTTTCAGACACAAAGCAGGCAAATCCACAGGAATATGGATTTCCGTACCTGTCAGTGAGACAGTACATTTCGAGATTATTGCACCAATTTTTGTCTGCTAAAATGTGGGCTTTTTATGATAAACTTAGTGCACCAGTATATTTCCCAGGTGTGAGTCAGAGACTTGAAAAATTGGCCTTAAAATGTGATGGCATGCCATTTCAGGGAGATTTTCCTTTGTCTGGAGCTGTGTGCGCGTGAATTCATTTCCAGGCAGACACTTTTCAACCTGACAGCAACAGTGCGCTCTATACTGGAATCCATCTCTCAAATTGCTAGCAAATCACAGGACATGTTTATCCTGCCAGCCTGCAGGACTATGATTCTTACCCCCTGCTTCAAGCTTTGAAGAGGATCTGTATTAGTCCCAAGAGCCCTTCAGATAAACACACTTTCTCAGACTAAACACTATGGTCCGATGATTCACTCAGGCTGTTATCTAAGATCCTTCTGCTTATTATCTAAACGTGCTGCTCTAATCCCGAATCAATGGAAGTCAAATATCAAAGTACACTACTGCAGCTTATCTCAAGGAAATGTAAGATTCCTTTTTGGCAGTAATTATGTCTTAATGGGCCTTTACAGCGTGTTCTTATGAGGGGAAAATAATTTGAGTGTGCTTTCTGCTAGGTACTGAAGTGCGTAAATGAAATCCACTTTATTTTTAAAGCATAGGGGCAGTGAAGTAAGCAGCAACCATTAACACTGTATTAAGCGAAGAACATTAGTTTTATCTTCTTTGTATGCTGTTT